GTCAGCTTTAAAACTTTGGTCTAAAAGAACTTACTCTGTGGTCTTAGAGCCAAAGGAAAAATATAATCCCTTCTGCTTTATAATGCACAAGATCAAATATTTTGTTTAAAAAGTATTTATAAATGAACACTTTTTTTTTGATACTTTAGTGATTGGAAATATATTTATAGAAAGCATGGCTCTCAGATGAGAAAGGCCCCCAAAGGATTTACGCTGTTTTCTAGCCTTCAAGGAAAGTAAGATTTTTAGCCCTAAATTTAGGAATTGAGCCCTAATTTTTGGTAACAGAGGTCCAGAGAAATCAAATTAACTTAATTGTATTAAACAAACAAACAAACCCTTTTGCTGTTGGGCTGATTCTCACTTGTGGCAACCCTGCATAAACGAGGGTTTTCAGTGATGGGTTTCATGTGGATTGCCAGGTCTTTCTTCTAGGCACCTCTGGGTGGACTCAAAAACCCAGTGCCGTGGAGTGGATGCCTTCATAGCGACCCCTGAGGGTAGAGGAGAACTCTGCCCCGTGGGGTTTCCAGGTCTGTAAAAACCTGTCAACCTTTAAGGAAGCCAACTTCATCTTCCTCCTGTGCCAAGTGACTGGTGGGTTGGACCTGCCTACATTTTGGTTAGCAGTCAAATACTTTAACCAGGATGCCACCAAAGCTTCTTTATTGCATGATACTAGTTAACAATTATTGACCAATTATTATGTGCCAGGCTCTTTGCTAAGCATCTGTGCCCTGGTGGTGCAGTGGTTAAGCACTCAGCTGCCAACTGAAAGCTTGGTGGTTCGAATCCACCAGTTGCTCCAGGGGCAAAAGAAGTGGCAGTCTGCTTCTGTAAACATTAACCAAACCGAAAAAACCACACTCACTGCCGCTGAGTTGTTTCCAACTGATAGTGACCCCTCCTTGGGTTTCCGAGGTGGTATCTCTACGGAAGTAGATTGCCCCATCTTCCTTTCAAGGAGTGGCTGGTGGGTTTGAACCTCCAGCCTCTAGTTAGCAGTCAGATGCATTAGGTACTATGCCACCAGAGCCTTAGAAACCCTATGAGGCAGTTCTACCCTGTCCTATAGGGTCATTATGAGTCAGAATCACCTTGACATCAATGAGTTTGGTTTTTGGTGCTAAGTATCATTTCATTTAATCCTCATAACAAGCTTCTAACTTTGGCACCAGTGCCGTGGGTGAAAGGAGCCCTGGTGGCTCAGTGGTTAAGTACTCAGCTGCTAACTGGAAGGTCTGTGATTGGAACCCACCAGCAGCTTTGCAGGTGAAAAGACTTGGTGATCTGCTCCCCTAAAGATTCCAGCCTTGGGTACCCTATAGGGCAGTTCCTATAGGGTCACTATGAGTTGGAATTGACTTGACAGCACACAACAACAACAACAATGTGGGTGAAGAAAATGGAGGATCAGAGAGGTCAAGAGAGTTGCTCAGAGTTACACGTTGGTTCCGGGGGAAACTGGGGCTTGAATGCAGGTCCTGGGTGGTGTTGAGGCCTTGTTCTGAAGCACTCCCCTGTATTGGTACGAGGAATCTCCACATGCTATTTTTTAACCCCACACTCCAGCTGCCAGAAGGGAACATTCCCTGAAGAAGGATGTCATGCTTGGTAAAGTAGAGGGGCAGCCAAAAAGTAGAAGACCCTCAAGGAGATGGATTGACACAGTGGCTGGGGTGGTGGGCTCACGTGTAGCAAGGACTGTACGGCTGGCGCAGGACGGGCAGTGAGCGCCTCGTCCTGTTGGGCACAGGGTCAC